TTGGGTTGAGAGGGCAAGAGACTATATTGTGCTTTAATGTTGTCATACTTGATAATAAGTGTATAAGTTACCAATATATGAATTGATGTTAAATATATCTCCCACTTAGGGACGCCTAGATGGCTTAGTCTGTTAAACATCTGCCTTCAGCTCAGGTCATGTTCTCAGGGTCCTGGGATGGAGCCCCACATCGGGCTCCCTGCTTGGCGGGAAGCCGGCTCTCCCTCTCCTTCTGCCGCTCCCCCTGCTTGTGCTCTCTCTCTCTGTCAAATAAATAAATAAAATCTTTAAAAATATATATATCTCCCATTTGAATTCCCGTTGGATAAAGTTATTTCTTGATGTGAAAAAAAAACTTACATTAGGGTCACTCTGGGTTGGGTGGTGTATAAGCCATCCAGTTTCAGTCTGCGGGTGTCGGTGACATGTCCAACAGCCTTTTAGTTTATTTCCCTCTGCTATGAGTTTACTTAGATTCTCTAGGGAGTTCAGTTCCCAAGGGTGCTCTGGTGTGTCTGTACCTTGAGATATTCCTAGAACCACTATAACAATAATGAATATCAGGAAAGTGTTCACACTAAGATCTTAAGGGCTAAAACACGGTACCCAGCCTCTGGAAGCTCGTGAGCAAGGCAAAGAGGACTTCAAAACTATCCATTTTTACCATGTATTAGCAATGAGCGGTGGCATTTCTCACTGAATAGTCACAGGGAAAATGGCTTAATCTCGTCAAGGCAGCAAGGCAGAACAGCAGGCTAGCACTGTGTGGACTGAAATCACGGTAGTTCAGATCTGAGTGTCCTGTCCACTGGGGTTTTACTTAACCGCGTGTCCCTGGAACACAAATTTCAGGTCAGAGTGTGGCTCACGATGTGTTTGTTGTTGTCTGTTGCTTCTAGCACCTCGTCTCCCGAGCTTCTGGTGCAGGTGACTTTTCCACTCCAGAGTTGGGGATCCAAGGCACCACCCCTTCTAGTTTTAAAGAAGAATGCATGGCCAACAGTACTAGGTGGGGCCCTGTGCATACTGGGTGTGGCTGATCCCGGGGTGACCCACTTTTCCATTGGAGGTGCACCCAAAGGCCAGGTTTGTTGGGTGAAGCCTGATTTCAGTAGGTAGGGGGAGGCAAAAATGCCAAGGATACTTGCTGAGCGTGTTGGAGATTAATTACATGCTCGATGGCCAGAGAAAACTCCGGGTCTGGTGGTGAGGAGGAATGAGAGCCTTCAGGAAAGAGCCTCCCATAAGTCGTTCTGAATGGGCTAGATTTTGGTTTGGGTCGGCTCTTACCCTGGTGGGAGCTATTGGTAATAATTTTAAACAGTTTTGCTGTGTTTCTGGACACAACTTCACCAGGGTCTTTTCCAAAAGATTCTTTTAGCTCCTCCTGTCTTTCTAGAGGACTGAGGTCTCCAGGCACAGAGTGTAGCCTCCATTTGATGTCCAAAGCTCTGGCTACCCCAGAAATGACCTTTGATATGAAAGCCGACCCATTATTGCTTTGTAGTGACCTCGGTAACCCAAATCAGGGAAATCCCTCTTTTTCTTTCTTTTTAATTTTTTTGAGAAAGAGAGAAATGCAAGCAGGAGGGTGAGAGGGGTGAGGAGGGTGAGGGCAGTGGGCAGGGACCGTGGGAGAAGGAGAGAGAGAATCCCAAGCAGGCTCCACGGTCTGTGTGGAGCCCGATGTGGGGCTCGATCTCACAACCCTGAGATCATGACCTGAGCCGAAATCAAGAGTCGGACGCTTAACCAACAGAGCCACCCAGGAGTCCCAGGAAATATCTCTTTTGATAAGGCCTTTGGTACTTAATTTGCCCTTTCTGTCCTACAGGGAGAGGCCTCCATCCATCCTGTGAATGTATCTACAAATACCAAGAGGTATTTGAAACTCCAGGTGCTACTGGCATAACAGTAAAATCCATTTGCCAGTCTTCCCCGGGTGGTGCCCCCCAGTCTGAGGTGCCACGGCTAAAGGGGGTACCAGAGGCCTGGCTTGTATATTATTTGTCTGACAGTAGACACACCGGTTTGCTATTCTTTTAATAATCTCTCTCATCCCTGAAATGTCTATAATCTTTGTTAACCACGGGCATAAAGCTTCTTGGGCATAAAGCTTCTTGGCCATAATGTGTTGAATCATGTGCACTCTTAGAAACCCCCCAGACAGTTTGCTGGGTGCCTGGACTTTCCCACTGCTCTTTGTCATCCAGTCTCCGATTATCAGGGACCACGGGGAGCCCATCTTTGCTGCCTCTTCTGTTTCATTTCAGGAGTAGGTGGGGGTAGACTGATAAAGAGGCAAAGAAGAGATTGATGGCCTCTGCAAACTCTCCCCTGATCTAGCAGAACTTTCCGTGCCTGCGTCAGCCATACGAACTCCCAGTATTACTTCTGGAATTTCCTTTCTGGTGGCATTTACAGTGAATGCCCCCTGCCACCTGTAGTGGCTTCTGCCCTGCTTCCAGCAGCCCGTGGATTTCTTTGCCATATCTGATTTCTTTATTTCCAGCATTTGAGAACCCTCTTTCTTTCCATATGGCTCCATGAGAGTAGATTACGGAGGTGTATTTAGAATCAGGGTGAATAGGTACCAGTTGATCTTGACCCGACTCTAAAGCTCTGCTTAGCACAATTATGTCTGCGTTTTGGGCTGAGGAGCCTGGGGCCAGCCTCTTGGCCTCCACAAGAGTGTTTAGGGACACAACCACACAACCTGCCTGTCTTGCCCATTTCCTATGAAACCGCTGCTGTCTACAAACCAGCCTTCCTCTGCATTGGACAGGGCTCCACTTTGGAGATGTCTGGGACAAGAGTACACTTGATCCGTTACTTCTGGGCAACGGTGGGTAGTAGGTGGATCAAGATCAGGAAGTGAGGTGGCTGGGTCGAAAGTGTGGCATGGGGTCTAGCTGCATGGCCTGACATCGCAGTAGTCTGTGCCGGGATAACCACAGAGGTTCTTTGGTTTCCAATAGACCAGAGACCAGGTGTGGGGTCCAGACTGTTGTGGGCTGACCTGTAGTTTTTCTCTGCCTTTTTGATCGAAAGGCATGTGGCTCAGGCAGGGAGTCCAACCGCTGGCCACCACGTCCAACCATTTAGAGAAATAAGCTACCGTTCTCTTCAAGGGCCCCAGCATTTGGGTTAACACCCCCATACCCACTTCTTGTCTTTCATGTACATATAAATCAAATAGCTTTTCAAAGCCTGGTAATGCCAAGGCTGGGGCTTCTGAAAGGAGGGCTCTAAGTCTATTGACATCTTGATCACATGCTTTATCCCACTCAAAGAAGTGGGTCTCAGGTCCCCGAAGCTTATCATAAAGGGGTTTCACGATTAGCCCAAAGTCAGGAACACAGATGCAGCAAAACCCAGACATTCCCAAAATCCCCCACAATTGCTTGTGGGTCCTTGGTGGGTCTGGCTGACATATTGCTTTTTCTTTCTTGAGGAAGACCTTGTTGCCCCCTTAGAAATAATAAGCCCCAAGCATTTTACAGTTTCCTTAAAAATTTGAGCCTTTTCTTTTGATACCTTATATCCCTTGCTAACTAGAACATTTAACATGAATATAGTATCTTTGTCAGAATATCTTCAGTGAGGCTGGCTATTGGAATACCATCCACACGTTGCATGAGAGTACTCTTTTCTAGAGTTAACTCTTAAAGTTTGTTCTGGGATTTCTCCAGATCTCAGAGTGGGGGAATTTTTTAAATCCCTGAGGTAAACCAGTCCAGCAGTATTGTTTTCTTGGGGGGCTGACGCCTTCCCACTCAAAGCAAATAATTCTTGGGATTCAGACTCTAGTGGGGAGCAGAAAAAGGTCTTCTTTAAATCTAACACAGTGTAATATTTACTATCACTTGGCAAATTGGCTAACAGGGTATACAGATTGAATACTACAGGATGTATGTCTCAAGTAGCCTCATTAACAGCTTGGAGGCCTTGAACAAATTTGTTCCTTGCTTCCTGGCTTTTTAATGGGTAAGCTGGGGTATTGCATGGGGATCTGCACGGCCTGATCAACCCTTGTTCCAAGAATCTATTTATTACCCAGAAGATCCCTTTTATAGCTTCTGGTTTTAAGGGGTGTTGCCTTACCCCAAGCCAATGATCAATCTGTTTTATTTTTTTTAAAGATTTTACTTATTTGTCAGAGAGAGAGAGAGAGCACGAGCAGGGGGAGAAGCAGGCAGAGGGAGAAGCAGACTCCCCGCTGAGCAGGGAGCCCGATGCGGGGCTCCATCCCAGGACCCTGGGGCCATGACCTGAGCCGAAGGCAGACGCTCAACTGACTGAGCCACCCAGGCGTCTGATCGATCTGTTTTAATTCCACCATCACTAGTGTGGCACTGTGGGCACATCCCAGTTGTCCTGGTGCTCAGACGTCCAGGTTAACCTGCGTGAGTTTAGCTCCCTAGGACCTGGACGCTTGGATCTCTATCCTGTGTCCTGCTCCCAACTGATTAAGGCTCCCAGTCTGGATAAAATGTCTCCTCCTGAAAGAGGAAGAGAGGACATTCTGGTGCATAAAGAAAAGAGTGTTTCGTCATGTTGACCCGATGCCACAGGTCAGTCTCCAGAAATCTTTTGGTTTCTCCTCTTCCCGAGACTCCTTTTATACTACATTTTGTGTTAGAAAGGCTACCCTTTTGGGTGCTCAACACAGAGGAAGCGGCTCCAGTATTGAGCGAAAATTCAACCGACTCTCCTCCCCACTGCGAGGGTCACCAGGGCTCCTCATGGGAAATGAGGATCTGGTCATCTGAAGCTGACCTGGGAGCCCCACGGCCCCGTCACATCCCATCCTTGCTGAGGGGCAGCTGGGATGATTCAGTTTTGCCCATCCTCCTTTTGGGGGCCGTGTGAGCAATTCTGTTTCCATTGCCCTTCCTGTTTACAGTAAGCACCCTGACTGTAACCCAACTCTGTCAGAGGCCTCTTGATCCCACGGGTGGGGGAGCAGGGGGAGGGCAGGGCGGGGACTCTCACCCACGATGTCTTCCTTCCTGACCCTGGGTTACCTCCGGGCTGATAGTCTTTCAGCCCCTTCTCTGGCTTTTGCCACCACCACAGACTTTTCTTCTGCCTTTAGGAGGATGGTTAGTAAAGCTTGGATGTCCACCCAGACTGGACTGTGCATAGAAAATATACAGTAAATTTATAAATTCAACTGGATCAGCTCATAGTCCCCTGGTGTGCCTTCCAGTCACACGGGTCTGATGTTGAAAAGAGGACACGCACATTAATGAGACGTCTGTGACCGTGAGGGACCTGTCTAGATGGGAATATTCCAGCCCCAGGCTGGAAGCAGGTCCCTAATCTAGTAGTGCTATCTGGTAAGGGAGGAGACATCGGGGACTGCTTGGGGAGGTGTTAATGGGAAATCAGGGGTTAGCACTGATGGGGCTGGAGGAATTGGGTCTGGGTGTCACTAAGGATCTGGATACCAAGGAAATAAGGCAGAGGTTTATTACAACTTAATGGCTGACTTGGAACTGTAGAAGGGATTTGAGGCAAATGGTTTCTAGCTTTATGTCTTCTGACTTAAAGGAATAGTTCTTCATCAGATTTAATATGGGAAGTATTTTTGAAGTTTTAGGTTCCACCTTTATCTCACAAATTTTACATTTCCTTTATAAATCTTCATTTCGATATAGTTGCATAAAGCATTGAACATATGGGATCTCTTCCCATTTTCTTACTTTTCTACAAAATAATTTTAATTGCAACGTGGCATTGAATTTTAAAGTTCCATTTCCTGGCCACTTTTCTCCATCCTCTACGGTATATTGTGGCCAGGCTATGTTGCAAAAGGAGATCACTTGCTTTTGCGTCCAGGGGGAGTATCCAGGGGGAGCTTCCATTTCTGGAAGCTACAGCCCGCGGGCTTTCCCTCGGAATAGAACTGGTCCCATGTTCTGGGAATTTTCCTTAGAGTCTCCTAACCTACAAAGGTAGCTTACAGTGAGTAGCAGTGACACAAATGTCACACCATCTTCCTCACAGAATATTTAAGACTCCAGTGGCTTGTCCTTAAGAAAAAAAGCTAGAGAAAGAAAGTGCCCCAGTGTCTTCTTAAAAGACGTTTGGAGACTGCCAAGGACTCTGGGGTGTCTTTCTTATCAGTTAGTAAAAGGGAAGGTAAACCAGAGAACCAGGGATCCCTACTTACAGATTGCCAGGGAAGAAAAGAAAGGAAGGGCAAGGTACATAAAGGCCAAGTAGCCAGGGTGGTGATCCAAACAGTCAGCAACAGTCTATTGAGTATAAACATATGACCCAGATATTAGATCAGCTAGGACGGAGATGTCTGGCAATCTCCCAGACTCTAAGCACTGGATACCAGAACAACAGTGTCCAGAGTCCCTGACAGAGGGACCACCCAAATTTACCCTCTGACTAGTCTTTAAAGGAATGTTCTCATTTCACCAGGAGCATCCAAGCCTCCTGAAGAGCCAGGTTATGCCATCTTCCTGTTTTTCCTGATTTACTCAGACTTTGGGAGACAACTCTAATTTACCTCTAAAAGCTGTGCTATCGACCCAGCTTATGCCAGCAGAGATCATTTTGAGTAAACATACTCAGTGTGGCCGCTGGATTTCAGGGGAGGTCTCAACGCTGATGGTGGGTATAGGCACCAAGGAGGGAGAGCCCCACGAGGAATCCGCACCTGGCGCATCCCCAGGAGCTTGAATGGGTTAGCCCAGGACCAGCTGCCACTGCCCTCCGCTCTGCCTGTTGGAAACCAGGCAAATGGAGGGCAGAACCTCAGAAGGACAAGAGTCCCATCTGGGTCACCAGAATTTGTTCCTGGACCAATGTGGGTCGGGTCTGGGGTGAGTTATAGAGAGAGACTACACCAGCTGAAGTTGCCTTATGAAGTCTTCTTTATTTGCAGCAAATAAAGAGAACATGGAGAATAATTTCCAAAGCTGTGACTCCCCAAACAGGAGTAAGCAGGCTCCTTTTTTTTCTCTTTTTTAAGTCAATTTTTTAAAATTCAAGTATAATTAACATACAGTGTTACATTAATTTTAGGTGTATAATCTAGTGATTCAACAATTATATACATTACTCAGTGTTCGTCATGATGAGTGTATTCTTAATCCCCTTCACTTATTTTACCCCACCCCACCCCCACCCACCTCCCTCCTGGCAACCAGCCGTTTGTTCTCTATAGTTAAGAGTCTGCTTTTTGGTTTCTCTCTTTTTTCTTTGTTTTGTTCCTTAAATTCCACATATGAGTGAGACCATATGGCATTTGTCTTTCTCTGCCTGACTTATTTCACTTAGCATTACACCCTCTGGATCATCCATGTTGTTGCAAATGGCAAGATTTCATTCTTTTTTTATGGCTGAATAATATTCCATTGTGTGCATACCACATCTTAATCCATTCATCTATGGATGGACACTTAGGTTGCTTCTGTATCATGGCTATGGTAAATAATGCTGCAATAAAAGATATAAGGGTACCTATATCTTTTAGAATTAGTGTTCTTATTTTCTTTAGGTAAATACCCAGTAGTGAAATTACTGGATCATATCATTTTATTTTTAACTTTTTGAGGAACCTCCATACTGTTTTCCACAGCAGCTGCACCGATTTGCATTCCCACCAATAGTGCAGGAGGGCTCCTTTTTCTCCACAACCTTACCAACACTTGTTATTTCTCGTGCTTTTGATTTTAACCCTTCTGACAGATGTGAGGTGATATCTCATTGTGGTTTTGATTTGCATTTCCCTGATGGCAAGTGATATTGAGCACTTTTTCCATGTTCTTGTTGGCCATTTGGATGTCTTCTTTGGAGAAACATCTGTTCATGTCTTCTGTCCATTTTTTTAATTGGATTACTTTTTTTGAGGCTGTTGGGTTATATAAGTTCTTTGTATATTTTGGATGCTAACCCTTTATCAGATATATCATTTGCAAATATCTTCTCCCATTCGGTAGCTTGTCTTTTGGTTTTGTTGATGGTTTCCTTTACTGTGCAAAAGCTTTTTATTTTGGTATAGTCCCAATCATTTAATTTTACTTTTGTTTGCCTTGCCAAAGGAGACATATTTAAAAAAATGTTTCTATGGCTGATGTCAAAGAGGTTACTGCTTGTGTTTTCTTCCAGGAATTTTATGGTTTCATGTCTCACATTTAGGTCTTTAATTCATTTTGAGTTTATTTTTGTGTATGCTGTAAGAAAGTGTTCCAGTGTCATTATTTTGCATGTAGCTGTCCAGTTTTCCCAACACCATTTGTTGAAGAGACTGTCTTTTCCCCATTGTATATTCTTGCTTCCTTTGTTGAAGATTAATTGACCATATAACTGGTTTTATTTCTGGGCTCTCTACTCTGTTCCATTGATCTATGTGTCTTTTTTATGCTAGTGTCATACTGTTTTGATTGCTACAGCTTTGTAGTATATCTTGAAATCTGAAATTGTGATTCCTCCAACTTTGTTCTTCTTTTTCAGGATTGCTTTGGTATTCTGGGTTTTTTGTGGTTCCATACAAATTCTAGGATTTTTTTTGTTCTAGTTCTATGAAAGATGCTGTTAGTATTTTTGCATAGAGATTGCATTAAATTTGAAGATAAGCAGGCTCCTCTCATTGAATTCTGGGATGAATATGCAGAGAGGGAGTTCCTCCTCATTGCATGTAATGGGCAGGCATAGAGTTGCTTATGCTCACTCAGAAAACATGACTATACATACATTGTATGTTATGCTAATGAGGCTTATGCTCTCCCAGGGCAGGGATTTTAACATTATGATGAAGCTGAGGTAACCATTGGGCACTTTATGAGTCATCTCCCCAGGCATGTCCTGGGGGCAGGGGACGGAAGGGGGGCGGGGGGATCCTACTCAAAATATTTCTTTTCCTGTTCCAGCAATTCTTTAGCTTGTTTCTAAAAGATAAAATTGATAGCTAGGCAAAAACTTTGAGGAATTTCTTGAGTTGTGGGGTTCTTCTCACTGGTGACAAAATCACATCACCTGGGCCCTGAAGCAGCTCTCCTTGTGTCCAATGTCTCACAGAAGGGCTTTGGAACATTTTCTGTAACCTCTGTCGTTCACCTTCCCAAGCAAAGTGCGTCCAGCCTTTTTCTTTTTTCCTAGACATTCAGGGGCCTCTACCTTCCACTTCTCCACCTTCTTCCACTTTGTCTCTTCTTCTGTCACAGACTCCTTTCTCGTCCCCCTGGACCCAAGCAAACTCCCCACAAATAAAAGCAGAGGCAAACAGGTATTTGAGCTCATCCTTGAAGGATAACTAGGAGCTCACCAGGTGGAAAAGGTGAGAAAGGGCATTTCAGGCAAAAGGAACAACAAAGCAGAGAAAGAACAGGTCATTTTTGGAAGAATACAAATAATTGAGCTCTGGGAACCTCTTGTTTTTATTCAAACTCTGCTACAATGTTAACTCCCCTGTGAAGTGTTCCCTGACAACCCCCACCTCTCCTGGCCCCTGATGCTCACTTCTTTGTCCCACAGAGCACACACCTCCATTGATTCAACATTTATTGAGCTAGAAAGTATGCTAAGTCTTAGGGATACAGAGATAATAAGCACAATCCCTATGCTAAAGATTCTGGAAAAGAGAGGAAAACAATCTCATAATTACAACAAAAAGAAAGAAGGACTTAGTATTTTTTAAAATTTTTTTATTGTTATGTTAATCACCATACATTACATCATTAGTTTTTGATGTAGTGTTCCATGATTCATTGTTTGTGCATAACAC